CGGTAGGACGAACAGACAAGGGGGGGTGGGGGGGACTCTTCTCCCCCCAAAACCGGAAAGTAGAGTTTCGTTCAGCGACAAAGCCATGACGAACGAAGGGTCAAAGACCTAAAAGCACTCGCATTCGGCATCAGGAGCACATGTCGGTCACATCGAGTGATAGAATCAGGGCAACGGACCATCTGAAGAGCGCCAAGATAGAGCTCGGTTGGTCTGGATGGTGCGGTAAATGACATGTCTCGCTGTTCGTGCCGGCAAATGACATTTTTTTTAGTTTATTTAATTGTTTCTTTTTTTTGTCCCCTCACGCAAGCAAGCAGGTTGAGGCTCACCTCCCCTTGTTCTGAGCTCGCCCCAGCTAGCTTCCATGGCCTTCTTAGCCAGATCCATCATCATATCCAGGCTCGGCAAGGCACAGAACAAGCCTTTCGAATCTCAGCACGAGCGAAGTCGAGAAGATTGGACTACTCGGGAAAGCCGACCACCTTCGCCAATGCCTCGACTAGCTCAGGAGACGACACAATCCAACAGAATGCGTTTCTGGTGCAATGAGTTTCAAACGGACAGGATACAAGTACAGGATTTGGGAGACGAATGCAGGGAGATTGACATGCTTTTTTTCTGCTCGGGTTGGGTTGGACCAATGAGAGTGGGAGACAGGTACGCCGGTACCTAGAGCTGAATGTGATTTGGACAGAGCAGAGCGCTGTTGGAGCACCCTCACCCATCCTTGGTTGTGCTCGACCGAGGTCAGAAAAACGACCTTCCAAAAGCGCCAGCTTCCGAGTTGCTAGGTTTCGGACTGACCTCCAACACGCTATAGTGGATGAGGTTCAACGCCTTGACCGCCAGCTTCTCGTGCAGTACGCACGAGATGTTGATCTCGCTAGCACCCTGACTGATCATCTCGATGTTGACGTTTCCTTCAGCCAGCACGGTAAACATCCTACCCGCTACACCCACCATGTTGCGCATGTGCTTGCCCACCAAGCTCAAGATAGCCATGTCCCTCAGGACGCTGACGGTACCGACCTTCTGCAGGTCGGCCTTGACCTTCTCGAGCGTTCTTGGCCTCAACCCAGCAGCCATGGCCATGGAAACATGCACCTCGGAGGTGGAGATGAGATCTACGACGACGCCGTACTTGTCGAGCGTGCCAAAGATCTTGGCAAAGAAGCCGTGGGAGACGGTCTTGCGGTTGGAGTGGACGTTGAGCACGAGCACGTTGTCCTTGATGGTGACAGCTGTAGGCAGCTTGCGCTCGCCCATGACCGGGTGTGCGGGTGGGGTGTTGGACGAGCTTCCCCAAGCGGAAAAGTTGGATTTGCTGGCAGAGGGTGTCATGGGTGGTCGAGGTTGGTCGACGTGACCATCAACGAGCTTGTCTTCGGATCCATCGTGGCCCTCGGGAACGTCGGGGAAGATGACGGTACCCATTCCGGTGGGGTTCTCAACGTTCTTGATGCGGATGGGGATGGCTTTCTTGATGGCTTGCTCCATGGTGAAAGGGTGGATGACTTCGCTTCCGTAGTAGGTGAGCTCGGCAGCTTCCTCCGGTGTAATGGCGGGGATGAGACGGGCGGTGGGCACTTTGCGTGGGTCGGCGGTGAAGACTCCATCAACCTCCTTCCAGATCTGAAGCTCTTTGGCGTTGACACCGACTGCACAGAGGGCAGCGCACAGGTCGGTGTATCCACGGCCGATCTGGGACAACAACGAGCCGGGGACGTTGCCAAAGTAGCCGGTGACGACGGGCACACCCGTGCACGCCTTGAGGCGCTCCCCAAGAGCCTCGCTGAGCGAATCGTAGAAAGCCTGATCAAGGGTGAACTCTCCCTGCGAATCTTGGACCGCGTGGGCGGAGAAGGAAGGGTCTACGATGCTCTCGAGCGTGACGAGTTCTGCATCGACGCCAGCGTCGCGCAAAGCACCGGCGGCAATTCTGCACGACAAACGTTCTCCGACACCGATGATGATATCCTTGGACTTGGGCGAGATCTCTTCGATGATCTTTGCGGCGAGGAGGAAGTCGCGCAAGCGGTCGCAGTCGTCGGTGATGTCGTTCTCGATCTGCTCGAGGAGCTGCTTGTCCTTGGTGATTGCCTTGCGTGCTGATGCGATATGGTCAGAGAGGATGCGATCGACGGTGGCATTGAAGCCGATGGCGATCTCAGGCTCGGAATCAGAACCAGCATCGCTCTTGGCCGGCTTTGACTGCTTGGTCGGGGCGGAAGTGGAGGCGGCGTTGCCGTTGAGCTTGAGCTGTTGGAGCTTGTTGTCGAGCGTGTTGCTGCTCAGAGACTCGACGCGGCCGAGCGGGGTGCCTCTTGAGCTGGATTTGCGGGAGAAGGCGGACCCTGGACGGTGTGCGGGCGTCTGTGCGCCGTTTGCGAGGGATGCGATCGAATTGGACAGGGAAGCTGCCGGGGTGAGCGCCTCATCGAGCGCCTCGCCAGCTGCTTGAAGCAGCAGATTGGTCGTGCCGAGCGCCTTTGTCTGTCCGGAGCGAGCTGAGCAGACGATGGCGACCTTGTTGCCCGCCAAGTACGAGGGGACGATCTGGGTTGCGATGGTGTCGAGGAATTTGCCGACGCTGGTACCGCCGTACTTTTGGATGATCCACTCGGCATTGGGATCGTCGGGTGGGCCTCGGAGATGTGTGGTGGGCGGCATGGCTGTGCAGCAAAAAAGTAAAGAAGCGTCTAGGGAGATGATTTTGCAATGACGATGGTGATGTTGTGGAGATGTTGTGGAGAAGACGATGCGAAGAAGTGAGTGCACAGCAACGGCACGTCTAAGACTGCTGGAAGAACAGCGCGGACTGTGACTCGCTCAGATGCAAAAAGACGCCATTTCATCAAGAATAATCATGGAAAATCGCCTGCCAATCAATCAGAGCAGAGAATCTCATCAGCCTCAGACGGGCCAACCACAGGGAGATTTGATCAAAGAATTTGATTCGAAGGTCACCAATTTTATCTATCAGCAAGTATTCAACTCAGCGACCAGACTGGGGTTGCAGCAATCACCTCGTCCTCCTGACCGAAGCTCAGAGACTCCAACTTGGATTCCGAAGTGGTGAAGAAGTCATCGTAAGACGTACATGGAAAGCTTGAGCGGGGTCGAAGCCCTATATGATGCGATTGGGTTTCCTTGCGTTTCTCTAATGTGGAGTCATCAGACAGCGTTCGGCTTGACCGGACCTGAACCCTATCAAGATTCCAGGTCCGCTTGATCGCCGATTCTTTAGTTGCTATCTTGATGGAAATGAGATCTCACAAAGCGTTGAATTCTTTCATTTCCACCTTTTCACGTTCCGAAAGTCGCCTCAATCCGGAGATGGTCGCCGTTTGAGAACCACAGCTCGGCAAAGGCTTCTGGGTGACCACCAGCAAGACTGCCTGAAAGCACAGCCGGCACGTCCGACGACTTGACCGGGTCTGGGGACCCCACCTTGTCTTTCAAGCTCTTCCAAATGAAACCTTCCGAGCTCAGGCGCACAGTCCCTTTTCGTGCAGCCCGGAACAGGAGTTGGACCTCAAGTCGGATGAATGATCTTATCAGGTCTTACGCTCGCAACGTTGCAAGGCGCCAGCTCGAAGACTGCGAAGAAGCACGAGATGCGCACAAGATGCTTGCCCGCTCCACCTTCTGACAAGATCTGCCACCAGCCGGGGCCGTCATCGTTACATCGCGGCGTCTTTCTGTGCTCGCTGACTCGATGGCGGAGCAAGTCCGAAGAGGGTGCGGCAGCATGGCCTAGAGCATCATTCTCGAGGAAGCGTGGCATACCGAAACTTCGCTTGCGGCAAACGCAAGAGCCGCTCGAGTCGAGCAAAGTTAAAATGAAAAGCACGATGTGTCGGTTCAGAGGTTGCGAAGAGTGGAAGCCGGCACGGCATCTTTTAAGGTTGATACGGTAGTGAGCTGCAGGGAAAGAACGCCGGTGCCGCGAGGTGGTGAAGGATCGCGTGGAGCTTAGCGTAAGCAAGCAGAACTTGACCGCAGTTGCAGCATGCTGACATGGGAGAGAAAGATTGCCGAGTCGCAACCCGGCGTCTCGGACACTTGACAGCTTTGCCCGACTCGGTCAGCAAACAGGCGGTTGAAAAGCGGGCCTACAACGAAATGACCTCGATTTCGCAGACACACTCCGGCGATCAATCGCGTGGTCAAGATAAGCCAGCAACGGCAATCTTGGTCGTGCCAATCGATGGCAGTGGTTGTGCTTGAATGCTTCGCATGATTTTCCACTGACATCGGAAGCTTCAAGGCAGGAATCACCATGCAATAATACTTTGAAAAAAAGCGCTTTGGCGAGCAGACGGCCGCACTTACGGCACGTTTTGGCGAGCCGAGGATGCTGCGCGTGTGGGAAAACGCGATCAGCATTCCGCTGTCACGGTAATCGAGCATGATTGCATCTCGATTGTAACGTGTGTCTGCTGACGGCAACAGGTAACTGAGCGAGATGTACGACGTGCCAGAGCCTGACCAACACTGCAACTTGGCTTGTCGGCCACCGTCAAGATCGTCGCGTTGAGCCACATACCGCCGTTCAGATCGAAGTGACAGGGGTTGGGCTGCCATCGACATCGCGTAGCTGTAACCGAGCGTGATTGCCTCCGTTCCCGGCCCCCATGGAGTGGTTCCTGGCGTCTTACGCCCTTCGTCCCACAAAGGCTGCCTGGACTGTTGGATGCAACGAGCAAGACGCCGAGATGTCTGCTTGCTCCCACTCGCTATCCGTCAGTCTGGCGGCTTCCCGCTTTTGGAGTGTCTGCAACTTGGCGTCTGCACGGAAAAAACACAATCTAAGCGCCAGACCACTGAACGAAAGACTGTGACGGTGCGCTGAGATAGCGAAGAGATGCGAGCTCCGAAGTTACTCCTTGTTCGCCGTGTACCTCGCTCTGTGCCCGTGTCTCGCCATCCCCCCCACGCCGGCCCGACGGTGGTCCGCTTCGTGGGAATGGCTTGTCGAGCCTCAGTCCCTCCGTCGTACGTCCGTCAGTCGCGTTGGTGAATCCGAGCGAATGCCGTTCTGGCGGTGCATGCTTGGTTTGGCTCGGTCTGGCATCCGCTCAGACTCATGAGCCTGCCGTTTCCGAGCCCTTAAGCTTTTCCTTTTTTTGTCAGCCCACATGTAACTGCGACGATTGGAATTCGTATGCACACACGCAGCACGCCAGCTCCCACAGTCCATTCGGTCAATCAGTCAAATTCAGTCAATCACTCAGTCGCGCTTGCTTCGGCAGCGTTACAGGCTCAGAATCCGGCTCGCTCTCTTTCACTATCGGATCAACCTTGCACTTTCGGTCGCTGCTCAACTCACGCTTTCCACACTACTCACACATCCTCGCTCTCGCTCTCGCTCTCTCCCACTCGCTCTCTCACACACTCGCCTTGTAGAATCCATTGGCTTTCCGTTCTCACTGCCACTCTCATCTCATCCGACCGCCATCTGCTCCAAGGCGTAGTCACGGCATTCATGGCTGTGTTCCAACCTCCTTCCATCACATCTCTTTAGAAGACCTGCTCTTTCTTCATCCGTTCCAAGCACCATGCCTTTCTGATCTCTTTTCCTCCAATTCGGACATTCTCGCACTCTCGCATTCCGCTAGACTCAGCATACATGACTCTCGACGCCTCCCTCCGCCAACACATGCAGTCGTGAGCTCTCCTACTTGCTCAACCACATCGCGTACCCCCTACACAATGCCACTGCACGCAGGCAGCGGGGGTGTGCGCCCGCCAGGCAAAGCGGCCACCGCCGCGCCTAGTGCAGGCCCATCCAAGCCCGACGTCAAGCAGCTCCGCCAACAAGCTGCTGCTGCCGCCGCTGCTGCCTCTACACAAGGCGATGACGACGACGACGACCAAGAGACCACCACCGACGACAGCAGCGACGAGGAAGCCGCCTTCGAAATGGATGGCCAGGAGCTTTGGACACAGACCTATTGCGTCACCTGCGACTGCCTCATCGAACCGGGCGAGGGCATCGCAAAGGCTTCCACAACCACAGACACTCCTTCGTCTCCCGTCGTACACTCTACACTGAAAAGTCGCTCGGGAACCATCAAGGGCCGCAGCTCCAACGCATCCGATACCCTTGCCTCGAATCCCGACCAGTCCAATGCTGCACCTGCCGCAAAACCCACGCCCCCCGCTCCACTCAAGCGCACCCATTCCGCCGGCCGTCTCCAAGCCAAGGCTGGCGCCGCTCCACTCGGTCCACACAAGCGCACCGGTAGCGCGGGCAGTCGGCTCAATGCTCTCAGCGAGCTCCGTCCCACCACGAAGCTGCATGACGACAAACCCAAGCCCAAAGTGTCTGGTCGTGATGCGTCCGGTCCACACGGTCGTAAGAGTCCTGCCGCGTCACGACCCGGCTCGGCGGCCAGCAACAGATCCCATTCCAACAGCAGCGGTCCATCCTCCTTCAAGTCCAACGAAGCCGTCGCTGCAGCTAGCACCACCACCAACAGCACCGACGCTCACGCTCGCACAAAGAAGCGCGGCTTCCTCGGCGGTCTCGGCCTGACTCCCGCTGTCCTGAAACAGCAGCAGGACGAGCTGTCCGCCAAACGCAAGGCACCCACCCCACTCTACTGCTCCGAGCGATGCCGCCTGATCGACGAACGTCGATCCTCTGGCCTCGGCGAGCTCGCGCAGTACCTGTCACAACCGCTCTTGCCGCCTACCAACACCGCATGGGCACCTCCGCCTCCACCCTCCCAGTCGTGGACCCGCTCCGCCAGCGTTTCTTCGATCCCCCTAGCCAACGACACACCAGAGAGCGATTGTCTTTGCCCCGATTGCATCGACAAGTATGCCGATGGTAACAGCGCCAACGGCGCAGCCATCCCGAGCGGCGCAAGCGACACGGCGACAGAAAGCTCCAGCGGTTTCGTCTACGGTCGCGGTGTAGCCCAGAAGCCACGCACCGCCAGCGGCAGGCTCATCACTCCCCTCGGTCTGCACGCTCCTGGCGCGGGAACCGATGATTACTTCCCTCAATATGCGCCCGGATACACCATGACATCCGCCGCACAGAACAGTCCTAGAGTGCGTCCTGCCGAACCGCTCCCCTATCACGACACTTTACGCGGCTCCTCCATTCCCGCACGCACATCTTCGGCTGCGAGCGGGGGGAGAGCTAGCACAACCGGTACCGAGGGCAGCGGCCTCAGCTCGGAAAGCGGCAGCAGTCTGTGGGAGCCTCGTCTCAAGCCCCGCACAAACTCGGGTGCTCAAAGCGCTACCGGCTCTCACACCACCATGCGCAACGGCTTCGCTACAGGTGCCGGTGCCGCCCCTGGCATTGCCTCTGGCCTTTCGACCAACACCGCTACGCCTGCAATCACACCAAGACAATCCATGATCGTGCCCTCGTCGTCTGGCTCTCATAGCACCGCCAGAACTGCTCATCGTTTGTCGGTGCCAGGATTTGCTGACACTCACCAAGTCGATGAGGAGTCATTGCACTCATCGAGCATCAACCGCGCTACCACGCCCTCGTCCACCTTGCCTCATCGACCCGCCTCTCGCTCCAAAAGATCATCTTTGCTCCTGGCCACAAGTCCGCTCCACCTTCTCGACAGAGCCAGCCAACACCACGCTGCTCCCTCCATCGACCTCTTCAGCGATCACGTCGGCAGTCCGAGCACAAGAGGCTCGCTGCTTTCACGCAGTCTCGCTAGCGAGCACACGCTCATGGGCACAAGCGGCATCACTTTGATGAATCAGCCGACTACAATCCCCTCATCGGACAACGCACATCCACAGCTTCACGAAGCTCGAGTTGCGAATCCCGGTCGCCGCCCTTCCGTACTGTCTCAGAGCCTGTCGTCGCAGAGCATGGCCGAGCCGTATAGGAGAGATCACAGCACGCAGTTGACAGACAGCGACGAGGGCCTCAGCATGGCTGTTGGCAGTCTCAAGCTTGCACAGTCTCGTGTCTCGGGTCCCCTGTCGTCGAACACGCGACGCGCGACCGACACGTCCGAGACCAGACCTACCGATCCGCGACGATTGTCTCTCTTTGGCGTCGCTGGTGCTCCCGCTCGCCGCAATTCGAATGCCGTGTCGATCTCCAGCTCCAACTCGGGTTCCGCCACCAGCGGCTGGCTTCGGTCCATCTCCTCAGCCTGGCTCAACTGGCGCTCTACCGCCTCTCCAGCCCCCATGCAACACGACTCGGACGTCTTCCACTCGACCGATGACAGCGACGAATGGCCGTCTCGCGGCTCTGACAGCGCTTCCCGACGTGAGAGCAACGCCTCGCGCGCAAGCAGCAGTCATAGGGCCTCTTATGCCCAGAAGCGAGCTTCTTCCATGAGAGACGTGCACACAGAGCAAGGCGGCATGCTTCATCCTGCTGACATCTCGCAACAGCCCGCAGAAGATCGCGCTGCCGTAATCACTCCGACGCAAAGTCTGGTCGCCAGGCCCACCATCCGCCGTGGTCACGTCCCTGCCTACGTTAGCGAGATTGGCCAAGGTGGAATTCCTGGTGATTCGTTGCCCGTCGATGCCAGCAGGGGTCACAGCGCAACCGTCACCGCAGCAGACCCAGCAGAGCGGCTCGCGCGCGCTCGCGTCGACAGCTTCACTCGTCTTGCTGATGCAGATGCAGCGCAGAAGAAGGCAAGCAGACGGAGAAGCCGCGACATATCCGTCTTGCCTCCGCTGCTGGCACCCATCAGCAGATCGGGCAGCAGCACCAACCTGTACGCACAGATGCCGAGAAGTGCCCGTGCTTATTCCACCGGTCGAGCCTGGACTGCCGCGAACACGCCCCAGATGTACGTGGGCAGCGCCGGGTCATCGCATCAACAGTACGCGGCGGCCGGTCAGCCTCCTCAATCGCCAACGCTGATGCGCAGTCCTTATCAAAGCAGTCACGCTCTGACGCAGGACGCTGCTCGCGCGGCCATGTCTCCCTCGAGACCCAACAGTGCAGCAGCCTACCACTCGTTGCCGTATAGCGCAGGCACTTCGCCGCGAGCCAAGGGTTTGGGATGGGGTGCCATGACGTCGATTGCTTCGCCTCCCACTGCATCGCACATGCCAGCCGCCGCTCCTGCTCAACACGGTGGCCATCGTCAGAGCATCAGCTACGGCCATGCTGCTGCCATTGCCAGTCGACAGTGCGCCAATCAGGCACAGAAGGCGCAGCATCATCATCACCACCACCACCATCACCATCACGGACACCAGCACGAGCACCAGAATCAGCACCAGCACCACCAGAGTAGTCGACACGGGCACGGGCACGGTCACAGAAACGGCTCGTTCGGATCGGAGCAGCATGCTGCATCCGGTCAGGCAGACGGCCGTGTTGCTGTGGGCCACGTCATGAACCTCGGGGCGATGCCGCACAGTGCAGGACAGCCTGCTTACGGCCGCCACTCGACCATGCCGGTCACCATGCATCGCAGTCCGACCCCTAGCGTGCCCGAGGACGGCGGTGAGATGACGTCGCAGGATCTCACCTCGGGCGACTTTGTGGTCAGGCCAAATTCAGCCATGGCCGGGCAAACCGGTCGACGTCACCATCGGACCTCGCTGATGCCGCCACCGCGCTCACGGTCGTCGATGGGCATGCACGCCAGTCGAGCTGGTGTGCAGCCGCTCACTCCTAGCGAGGCGGTACTAGCGCCTGCATCTGAGGACGTCGCTGCCGAAGACGGTGCTAACCATGCCGAGGCGCCGCTGCTGCAGCAGCAGCCGCAGCATGAACCACCTCGCACCTGGAGCTACGATCATCTGTCGGGCCTCAAGACCTACCCGATCTTGCAGCTGCCCGACCGTGAGACGCACGATGTCTACGATCCAGCATGGGGTCTGGACGCTGGCGGGCTCGCAAAGCATCTAGGTCAGGACCGAAGCAGCCACCCAAGGTCACAAGACGTGGGCACTAGTGACGGAGTTGCTGATGATGCGAGTGGTAACACAGTGCAGATGGGCTTCCAGCCTCACCGCAAAAAGCTGTTCTACTTTGATGCCTAGTGGTCACTGAACCACACTACTATGACCCTCAAGAACCGCAACGATCGTTGCACGATACCATTTGTTATTTCCCTCCACGTTGTTCCCTCGATTCTGTCTTGCACGCATTAACTTTTCGCATCTCTTCTTCTCACTTTGTCAGTCAAGGGGTTTATTTCTCTTTCTCAATCTCAGCCCAAACAATGCAGCATCTGGGTCGCGGTGTGTGAGAAGCGTTATGAGATTGCACTAGTGTCGCAGAGAAGCTTTCAGGACATGCCAAAGATCCTTGCTTCGACGGTAATCGGTTCTGGCAGATGCAACACCTCGATTCCATCCGCTTGGGCTTCAGGATGGTCCGGAGGCGATCTCCACGTGGCTACGACACGATTTGCTTCGTACGGCGGAACGTCTGGTCTGGTTGCCAGCGTGATGTGCGGTGTCCAGCGTTCTTCCTGGTGATCGAAATGGAGACGTTGGAAGTCCGGTGCGATGACGGAGGGTGGTGTGATGGTATCGATGGGCAAGGTTAGAAGGGTTGAGGGTTCGTAGAGGAGGGTACTGATGGTTATGTGGAAGACGAGTGCATCGTTGGAGGAAGGAGAAGGTTGCTGGAGAAGGTGGGTGTAGAAGTGCCATTTTTCGTCGTGGATGGTTCGAGAGGTGGTGTGGGTGTGGGTAGGGGTGGGGGTGGAGAGGTTGGAGTTGTGGACGAGGGTGATGTGAGGACGTTGGTTGAGACGGTTGCATGTACGCATGGTTGTGTAGAAGTGGGCGATAGAATCGTGTTCCGCGGAGGAGGTGGGTGGGAGAAGCATGCGGTCGAGGAGTTGACGGACGTCCAGTTCGACCGCAAGACCAAAGTACCTCGGTGTCGTCCCTATGACCTTGTTCTCCTGCTGTTTCTCAACATTCTTCTCCTGCCCACCGGCACCTGGAACAGCAACTTTCTTCCCAACCCCACCCGCACCACCGCCTTGCTTCTTCTTCACCTTCCACTCCTTCGCCCATCTCACCGCCTCCCGCAACCTCTCCTCGCTCGGCATCCTCCACCCGACTTCTTCCCCCACCTCCCGCACCACCTTCCTCAAACACTCCTCCACCCCGGCACCCACTGTGAGCGTGACCACCTTGTCGAACCTCTCATCGCCATACCCCTCTGCCCCCTCTCCCTTTCCCGCCTGACTTCCCAGCGGCTGCAGCGCCTCCAAGAACTTCCACAGCACCACCTCGTGCGACCTACACCCCCTCAATTTTCCCTCTCCGTCATCGGCGACCAGCGTCTGGTGGTTATCGCCCCTCTCCTCGATCCGACCGGAACAGATCCGGTGTAGAGTGTTCAACGGCAGCGAGTCCAGCTCCCACGCTAGGGCGATGGTTCTCACGCGTCCGACTTCCGGCACGGGTTTCCTACCCGCTGGAGGAGCGGATGGGGAGGAGAGTCGTGCGGCCAGATCGATGAGATCATCACGATGCTGCAAGAGATGGTTGTTCTTATCCGCAAACACTACGTAGTTGTCCTCCGTCGAGTGGGAACGAAGGTCTTTTTCGAGAGCTGCGAGGAACCCGGTCTTCTTCTTGAACTCGTCCGACTGAACATGCCCAGAGGCGAAGAGGTGGGAGAGCGCGAGGGCGAGGATGGTCTTCCCGCATCCGGGGACGGCGATCGGTGCCAGGATGGTCTTTGTGAACGGTCGCGTGTCTTCCTTCACCGCTACTGCGTTCGAACGATCTGGAGAGGATTGCTGGAGGTACGAGAGGAAGGCATTTCGCATAGCGATGATTCCCTTGTTCTGCGTCAAACCGGCGAAGAGGTGCGGTTGGGGTTTGACGGAATCGCTGCCGTAGAGTCGATCGTAGCACCATTGGATGAAGAGCGTCGTCTCTGGTCGTTTGGATCGAGGTTGCGGGGGGGAGGGGGGCAGGAGGCCGGCGGATTGCGCGGCGAGGCGGTGAGAGGCGGCCTGCTTGGCGTCTTGCTTGGCGAGTCGTTTGCGGGCGCGTTTGAGGGCTGCTTTGGATGGGGCTGCGTCGTCCGAGTTGTCGGGAGCAGTGGCGGCGGTCGATGTGTCGACATCGACGGTGGGCGTGGGAGGGGTGGCGTCGATCGATGAAGAAGGTGCGCTCGATGATGTGGTTGGCAGATTGGCGACTTTTGCCTCCCACTCGGCTTTCTCCTTGACCATCTTCCTCGCCAGCTCCCTCCAGTCTCTGTACATGAGATACGGCTCGTCGAACTTGACCTTGTAGAACCACGCTTGCCCGGGCTCGTACGGTGGACTGACCGCCTTGTCCTCCCGCCTACTCAACTCGTCCATCCGTTCCTTGCCTGGCATGTGCGTGCGAATGACGAACCCCTCGATCGGCTCGCCCTCCCAAGCGCCCGTGACCTCGATCTCCGCCGTAACTTTTTGCACTTCCTCCAAGCTACCCAACGTCAACCACCTCGTCCTGATGAACCCCCACTGCTCCGCGAATCGATCCACCTCGTCCATCCCTCTGGTGCTGAACTTGACCGCGTTGCTATTCAACCCATGCAGATGCAACCCGGACCTACTCTCGTCGTACGCCAGCACGTGCTCTTCGAACGAGTCGTCGCACAGCTCGAACGCCGCCGTCTCGTTCCGCTCCCACAGCTCCTTGGCCAGCTCTTGCTCCGTCCGCCCTACCGAGGCAAGATGCTTTCGCAACCACTCGTACCCCTTCTCCGCATGGGTGGTCTCGGTCCCCTCGATAGACCCCAGCGAATGCTTCGACGTCACAACAAGCTGGGTCGGGGAGAGGGAGGAGATGAAGATGATGCAGCCGTTCTCCTTGAACGTCAGCACGTAGGGCGGAGTGGTGTAGAGCGAGATGGACGCGGGTTTGGTCCAGGGTAGCTCGTTGAGGTTGAAGAACTTGTCGTAACCGCGGACGACGATCCTGTGCTTCTCAGAGGTGGAGGAGAGACGTTCAGTGAAAAGCCCACGTGCGAGGGTGGGGAGCTCAGAGCCGATGGCGGTGGATTTGCGGTAGGCGAACTCCGCCACTTTCCAGGATAGGAGGTGGTGATGCGCAGAGGAGGTGGAGGCGGAGGAGGTGGGAGTGCGGCATACGATGTGACCGGTGGATCGGATGAGCGGTTTAGGTTGTTTGCGAGCGGCGTCGAGTGCACTGACTAGGGCTGTGGCTGATTCGATCTCTGATAGATGCGAAGCGGTGAAGACGGATGATGACGTCGAAGCTTCTGATGAGGAAGAGGGTTGGTCGTGCAAAGAGAGTGCGGCAAAGGCTGTGGATGGGCTATTTGGCACTTTGATGGCCGAGGACGATTCGGCGTCATCGGCTGCCATGTTGTCGTTCGCCGACATGCCTCCAGTATCGAGCCTTGTCTGCGATATGATGATGATGAGAAGAAGAAGAAGAAGAAGAAGAAGAAGAAGAAGAAGGGGCTCCTTACAGGGTTCAAGAAGAAACGAAAGTGGAGGAAATGCGCTTTCTTTTTCTTCTTTTTCTTCCACAAGGGTTCACACGTTGAACAGCGCAGCAAAGCGCAGTTTCACTCGAAATCTTGCCACTGCAGCTGCGCTGTTAGATCTGGCAGGTGTTGGTCTCGACCAAGGTCGCGCAGAGACCACCTCGCCTCATCTTGCACCATCTCCATCCCCATCTCGACCAGCAACAATGGAGGCAGCAATAACACAATACCAAAAGCTGCAAGCTTGTGAGTCCTCAGTCCCCCCTCTTTCCTCCCAAACTAACCTCCTGTTCTTGCAACCTGCTCACACTTTCTCACTCTGAACTTCCATTGTGTCCATCAAACCAGCATTCCAAACAGCTGTCGAGGCACGGCAACAGCTCGACTCGCAGCTGCGCGAAAACGAGCAGGTCGCCAAAGAGTTCAGCAGGCTAAAGCAAGACAACCAGGTGTACAAGCTCATCGGACCCGTGCTGGTCAAGCAGGATCAGGTGGAAGCAAAGACCAACGTGGACAAGCGCATCGAGTTCATCAAGGGCGAAATGTGAGTTTCTCTTCAGACGTCGAGAAGATGTGAAGGCAAAGTAGACTGACCTTGTGATGCGTTCGGACAGAGAGAGGGTGGAATCGCAGATCAAAGATTTGACCGAAAAGACAGAGAAGAAGAAGGTCGAGGTAGGTGCAGTTTCCGAAGTCGATGATCGTAGAGACATGCTCACTAACTTTTTATCCGTTCAACAGATCGTGGCACTTCAAAGCAAGGCTCAGCAAGAGGCAGCAACATCGACTACATCAGCAGTCGCAGCTTGAAACTTTGCGTCGATGTATATTTGTACACTAGCAGAAACGAGCAGGGAGCAAAAGCAAACGGCTCTGGAACACGCGTGCATGTGTTGGATTGGTGTTTATGATACAAAGTACGATCCTAGTATTAGATGATGCAAAACCTCAACAAAACGTCCCTCAGTAGGACGTGACACTTTAGCGAGAGGTGTCCTCAACGTCGACTTCATCGCTGTCGCTGATCTCCACGACCGATGGAGGACGACTCCACTTTTCCACTGCTGGTCTCTTTGTTCCCACTTCCTTTGTCGGAGAGCTCCAGTTTGTCGGCGCCGCTCTGGCGTTCGCTTTCCCTGCCGCTATCCCCTCTGCCTTCCTCGGCTTTGCACTCCCCGTCCGGCTCGCATCCTCCTCCTCCTCGCCCTCACTCGCGCTTCCCACCACATCGGTCCAGCCCATACTCTTGGCCAGAGCTTTATACCTCGCCAGCGAAAGCGCACACTGCGCACCTGCCTGCTTCAGCTCGTCTGCCAGCCGCACCCTCTGCTGGGCGGTAAAGTCGTGCAGCAGACTCGGCTGTGGGTGCTTCTGCTTGGCTTCGAGCAGAGCTCTGAGGAGGTAGCGCGCGACGGTGTTGGGTTTGATCTTGCTGGACGAGGCGATGTGCGTGATGGAGTGGGAGGAGTAGAGCCAACGCGACATGCTTCGATCGTGCGCGAGGTGGACGCTGGTCACCGTGACAAAGTCGTCGTCATCGTCGCTGTCGCTTTGCCGGTTTTCGCTGTGATTGCTGGCTTTCTTGGCAGGCTGAGGTGATTTTGTGGAAGCAGGCTTGACCGGCGCAGGTGAAGGCGAGCGGGTCACCTGAGGAGGGGCTCGAACCTCGCGTAGTGCCGTGCGCAGCTTTGCCTCCTGCGCTCGTTCGTTATCCACCCGCTCGAGGTACAAATCATACGCGCTCAACTTGAGCGCTTGATCAAGATCCATCGCTTCGTCCGCTCTATCTCGATCCATCCGATCCAGCTGTTCCAACAAATTTCCCTCCACATCACTCGGCCTGAAGTACTCCGCAACAGCTCTCAGCACCTCCAGACTGGCAAAAGTGTCGCTCGCCGCGTACTCGATCTGCTCCGCGTCCAACGGGTACCTCTCCCAATCGCTCACCCTCACGCTGTCCTTGCGTAGCTTCCTACCCAGATAGATCCTCGTCAGATCTCGCAAGCTGATTAGATGGTTGATGGCGGCCCATCGTTGTGGTTGGGCGAGCTTGACAAAGTTGCTCAGCTCCACGACGTTGCGCGTGTCGATTCCGTAGTCGCGCTGCAGCTTGAGTGCGTCGTTTTTGATGGCTACGCCGGTTTTGATGATGGTGGGATCGTGCAGGATCGTCGTGAGGAGAGGTGGGATGCGGTGCGACATGGCAGAGGTGTGGATGATGAGGATCATCGATGGAGAGCAGATCTGGAGGAGGGCGGTGCGGTGCGAGCCGAGACGGGAGAAGTTCCATTCGAGATCGAGACCCATGGGTCCAGGTCCGAGACAGGAGAGCAGGTCGTTGGCTTCGTCGTGGTCGGCTGTGTAGGCCAGCATGGGAGTCTTGAGTCGAGCCGAGCCGGCTCTGGATGAGCTGCCGCAGGGCAGCAGCGGTTGATCGTGCGTGTACGAGGATGAGGATGGTTTGCATAGTGGGTTGAGGTAGGGTGTTCCGGAGACGAGAGGCGGTCCCGCGGGAGATTTGTGCGAGTACACTTCGAGTCCGCGTTCCAGCTCTTGCAACTTGGCCTCCTTTTCCCTTTTGGCGTTGATCTTCCAAGTGGATCTTTTCGTCCGCGGCCTACCCCAGTCTCTGGCCGTCTTCGATGTCGTTGACGACGTTGTCGATCCGGACCCACCATCCTGCAGCCTATCGCCGTGCGTCGAAGCCCAAGTTTTGGGCAACTTGCACCTGCCACCCTTCGATCCGGATCTCATCTCGTCCAAAATATCCGCACCCCACTTGAAATCTCCCCCAAGATACGATGAGCTATGCAACCCTCTTCGAGTCGCAACAACCCGTATACTATGATACGCAGCGTTCACGCTGAAGAGAAGGGCATTATGTTGAGCGAAGAAGCAAGAGCGTGGAAGCAGACATGCTGCTAGCTTCATCGCTTTGCGCACGCGTGCCCAAGTCCCTTCTTGAGGAGGTGATCGATCAGCGACGGTCAAGAGCTGGCATGTTCGATGGCGAGTGACCGTGTGTACGAAGCTCGAGGGCGGGGGTAGATCAGGTCAGCGTCGATGGCGGGAGAAGAAAGTTTGGCAAGCGGAACAGGGTCCAACACGCAACTTGCAGCCACCACGCGATTCGCAGTCCGACAACGCAGACGCGATAGAAAATCTCGCCGTGTTAAATTGAGATGGTTTAGGATCAAAAGCCTGGCTGCCTCAGCAGACCGAGTGGGCCTGCTCATGCCTATGTTATCAAATGGAAGATCAATCACTCATTCGCAAGTGGACGTAACGCGGTATCTCACACTGCTCATTCACAGCCAATTGGCACAAGCGCAATGCATCAGAGCCTAAGGAGAACCCCTCTTCTGCGAGGGATCCCGTTTGTATTTTGGTGAAGGGGACGGATGCGTTCCCAACAAGAAAAGTGGGATGATAAGTTGCAGTACAACGAATCGAGGTCAAACTACGGTACAGAGACCGTGCATGTGTGTGTGTGTATGTGTGCGTAAAGAATGCAGTGATCAGACCGACTAGGGCGAGAGCATGACACAAACGCTTTTGCCGGTTGGATGTGGGTGAATCGTGAAGACGGTGGTGGTGGTAGTACAAGTGCGTCGATGCGATGCGCTTATCGGCGGCCGGCACCGGGGACGTGGCGACCACGGCGCTCGGGAGCCTGGTAGGCGGTGACGGGGGCGGTGACGCTGACGGGCAGGCTGTCGAAACCGAACGAGCGCAGCATGTCCTTGGTGTCGGGGTCAACCTCGAGGCTGCCAGGAGCCGAGGTGTCGAGAGCCGAGACCTCGGGCACGTACTGGTCCTTGCGCTCACGCTCCTCCTCCTGCAGCTTGAACGAGATACCGCGGACGGGACCACGCTGGATACGCTTCATGAGGTGGGTGGTGAAACCGGCAATCTTGTTGCGCAGACGCTTCGAGGGAATGATGGCGACCTCATCGATGACGCGCTTGTTCTGGTGGAAGTCGACGTTCGAGAGACGAGGGTAGTACTTCTCGATAAGCACGCGCGAGGCACGCTTGGTAGTCTTGGTGCGAACGCGACCCTATTAGGTTGGTGAACGGAACATCAAGAGAATTGGCAAGCAGGTCAGCATTCTTGTCGGCTGCAATGATGTTTAAGAAGGTTGCAGCAACACGAAGTTGCAACGACGACGTTTGCTGCGGGACGACAGCTATGGCGAAAGAAGGTTGTTGAACCAGCAGCATTCGTCGAAATCGACTTAGCTACCATTCTGGTGTACTCTGTCGGGGTGCTGATCCCGTCACTTTGGAGCGAGAGAATGCCTGGTCTACTGCAAGGTCGGCGAACAGTCGGAGCAGCGAGAATGTGTCTCTCATGTCGGGAGGTGTGTGTCGTCGAAGCGATCAGGGTGCCCATGCACTTGAATCCTTCCAGTCACCAGATGCGGGAGACCACCAATCTAGAGCCCTACGAAAGGTATCGTGCACGTCTTTCATACGGTTAAGTGTTTGAGGCGCAGTACGCAAGCTTGACCTTCCCAACAGGCAGCGCAACCTGATCCATCGTGACCCCAACCAAATCATACGTTCAATCCTTTCTGCATGACTCTCTCTCCTCCTTTCTCCTGCCTACTCCGTGCAGGTCGATAGGCTTAGTGGGCCTGATCGCTGGTCGTGTCGATTAATCTGCTGTGGCAGGTATTATATGAGAACTGTACGGCAGTCCGTGGCTGCCTGCTGGTGATTCCATGCTGATGTATGAAAGGTGCTAATGCTGTCGTTGTCCTGGCCATAGCTGTGTCGATGGGCTGCAAACATCGTGCGTCGTGTGTGTATGCTTGCTGTCGATGCTTACCATATTGGATGATTCTTGAAGTTAGTGTGAGGCGACGGTGAAGTGTGATCGTGAAGAAGAGGATGAATCTGTTGACGGCGACCTTGACTGGGCTCTGGCAGCCTCTCGAATTGCGCTTGGTTGAGCTGCAACTCTGGCTGTTGCGCGCTTCACAAGCCTGACTGACTGGCTGAACGGGCCTGGCTTCTGGATTATTGCTCTGCCTCACAGCCGGCCTCACTCAGGTCGGGCTGTCTCATTGACTTGATGTGCTACCACCCCACGCCTCAACCGTTCTCAAGGACTGGCCGTTAAAGAGTGACTGACTTGCGCTCTGCTCTTCGAATCCAAATTCTTGGACTCATCAGAAATTTGTATTCATCTTGGACCGGCCGCAGACATTCACGTGATCTCCTCTTTGGATGAATGAATTCGAATTCTAATTTTCCCTTGAATTTAATTCGAATCTAGATTGAGCCGGACTGCTGCCTCGAAAAATGATGCTGACGACTCGAGAAGAAATCCAACAGCAGACTGGCGAATGTGTCTGGCTCCGATACTCTGTCCGCTCTGAGACTGCAAGTCCAGCGTTGATGTTCAGGGTTGTAGACTGCCAGGATTTCGAGATTGTGACAAAGAACAAGGCTGGCTCGGCTGGCTGGAGTGGGCGTGAGAGAGTGAGACTGCTGGCCCGACTCGCGCTGGTCGAGCGAAGGTCGAGATGGTTCGGCGTCGTCGTCGACACTTCGCTTGAAATCGCTTCTTCTTCTCTCCTACTCCATCTTTCATCAACCGGTACCTTTGTTCACCACCTCTTCAAGGTTAGTAGCCGCACGCAGCCACTTCCCATCATCGCCGACCGACCGATCGACCGACCGAAGTCAGCACGCAGCAGTCTGCGATCATCGACACCTGAAGGAATTATAAGCAGCTCGACAATTTGCAAATAGCATGATGGAGTGCCAAGCAACAATAGCAAAGATAGCAGCAGCATCTGCTCTCCATCTCGACACAGGATGATCATCATGCGCCACCGTCTTGCACAGTTTTGAATACACATATCTACAACCAGTCGACGGACCGCATATGTCGCATCGCCTGGTCGCATCCTCGACCTAGTCCAGCTTGTCGCGCAGCATAGCAGCGCGCTGTTCCACATGCAGCTCACAACGCATCCACGCCAGCATAACGAAATGCCAGCATCGATTCCATGCTGCAGAACCAGCCATCGCCAACAACTCGTGCATCGACCGTCCGCCATTGCACAAAGCACGTCGAAAGTCGACCTGTACCTCTCCAGATCCATCTCTTGGCAACCCCGCTCGTGTTTCCACCTTCGGTCGGCTCGTGTTGGGAACGTCACTAGTAGTCACGACTGGCGCAGAACAGGTCTCCAACTAACCACCAACTCGTCATTCGCCCTTTGCTTGCCTGTACCTGCCCAGTAGATCACATAATCGCCCACCATGGTTCGCATTTCCGTTCTCGTAAGTAGTCGCACCTTCAAGTAGAAGCTTTCATTCGCCGTCGTCTTCAATAAGTTGCTGACCGCTTTCCTCCCTTCTCACTTGGCATGTACAGAACGACGCTCTTAACAGCATTGTCAACGCCGAGCGCAAGGGTAAGCGCCAGGTGCTTGTGCGCCCTTCGTCCAAGGTCGTCATCAAGTTCCTCTCGGTCATGCAGAAGCACGGTAAGTTTCTTCTTTCGGACACAGCACAGCAAAGCATTGCACAGCATCGCACGATTCGCATTCGTCACAACCCACAGTCAGCAGAATTGGAAGTTTCGTCAAGTCGAAGAGAAGAGGAAAAGCATGGCATCGACAAGGACTGGCTGGGAGCAGGATAAACGATCAACTCCGGAGTTATAACTAATGGGCAACTGGCTTGCGACTTGCTCCTCGGAGTAAGCTGCACATACCAGCGTTCATCTTTAAGGCTCCGGAATAGCAAACTGCAATTGCTATGCTTACCGCGTGGAGGGGCAATACTTCTACCTCGAATCTGCGCAAATTTTCGGCGTGCCACATCATCATCACCTTCCACCACTCTTTTCCCCTTTTCCACGTTCCCGGTGATGCGATCAAGATGCGAGGTTCAGTGCTTTGCTGTCCCGAAGCTGCTGGGTCACAGCGTTAACGAAGCCAGGTTACTGATTTTGACTTTTCAATTGGTGTTTCCAACCATGGCAGGCTACATTGGCGAGTTCGAGGAGGTCGACGACCACCGCTCCGGCAAGGTTGTCATCCAGCTCAACGGCCGCATCAACAAGTGCGGTGTCATCTCGCCCCGCTTCAACGTTCAGCTCGGTCAGATCGAGAACTGGGTTCAGCAGCTCCTGCCTGCCCGTTCGTTCGGCTACGTTGTGCTCACCACCTCGTCCGGTATCATGGACCACGAGGAGGCCCGTCGCAAGCACGTTGCCGGCAAGATCCTCGGCTTCTTCTACTAAGCGTATCGTCCCATCAAACCCCAAAAGTAATTCCGTGATCGTCCGTTGACGGTTCACGAAGAGAAACTGCTCCCCGTCATCTTTCCCCCTGTGCTGACAATGTTATCAGCCCCAGCGTCGTACTCCCCCATCCAATCTTGGAAACGAGGCCTCCCTCTATTTGGGCAGGCCATCGTAAGGGATCCAAGGAAACGGCGCTGGTCACACACACACTTCTCCATATACTGTCGTTGTACAATATGTCGATCCTTCACTCCATCCCACATGCATTCTTGCTTTCCTCGTCGAAAGATAGGGGAAAGCATGTTCAATCAAAAAACATCATGATGTGTTGCAGACAGAGTTGCGCGAGAGGAAGAGTGCTGCATGAAGGGCTTTGGGTGGAGGAGGTGAGCAGCGCAAATATGCAGTCAGTGAGCCGGCGGTTGGTGCAATACTGGCAAGAGGGCGAGCCGAGCTTTAATTTTTTCGAGAGAAAGGCGTGTGTGTTGGTCTGAGTGGAAGAACGTGGCTGTGTGTGTGTGTGCTTCGTCACAGCGTGCTTGCATGTGTGTCGAGACCAACACTTTTTCTTCCCGGAGAGCTTCATCCGACACTGCACTGCCTCGTCACTCACCTCCCTCTTCCCGACACCACCAACTCGAAACTGGGAAGACGTCAAACACCATCCTATCCTCTCGCTCCAAAGATGGAGGCGAAATACGTCGCATGGCGGTCTGCCTACCTCCGCACCTCCCCCGCCGGCCTCTACTGCTACTACAACGCCAAAGGCGACAATGGCAACGCCATCACCTGCTCGGAAGCTCACGGCTATGCCATGCTCATCTCTGTTCTCCACGGGAATCGTACCGACTTTGACGGTCTGTTGAGCTTCTTTCAACGGTTTCGAAACGATCGTGGGTTGATGTGTTGGCAGATCCGGTCGGCGAACCAACCTGGTGGGGGAGAGGTGGAACCGTATGTGGAGGAGGATGGTAGGACATCGGCTACGGATGGAGATGTGGATATCGCTTCATCGCTGTATCTGGCGTGGAAGAAGTGGGGTGGTGAGGAGAGGTATAAGGTGGAAGCGGATCGGTTGACTTCTTCCATTTTGCGATATACGATCCATCCGCACCTTGGGACGCCGTTGTTGGGTGACTGGGCGAACTGCGATACCCCCGCTGGTAAGAAGTTGTACGATAGCACCAGGACGAGCGATTTCATCCTCTCTGCATTTGCGTTGTTCTCACGCTACCATTGCGATGCTTCCGAACGCACGAGGTGGGAGTGGGTGCTTCAATCGACCAAACAAGTCGCACTCTCCTGCGGTGGTACCACCGGTCTCCTCCCCGATTTCCTCACCTTCAACACGAACACGCAAACCTGGCACCCTGCTCACGGCAAGCTCCTGGAATCCGACCACGACGGCAACCTCAACTGGAACGCATGCCGTACACCCTGGCGTCTCTCGCACTACCTCGCCACCACCGGAGACACCTCCATCCTACCCTTGCTGCAACACGCACACCACTCGGTGAGGAGCGAAAGCTGTTTCAGTTTCCCACAGATTCCAGCTGGAGTCGATCTCCAGCACAAAAGGGCGCTGGTGGAGTACAGCGATAAGGCGTTCATCGCTCCTGTGGGGTACATGTGCTATGTGTTGGGTGATGCGGAGGGTCATAGCAGGTGTGTGGCGGCGTTGGGGGAGGAGGAGGGCGGGTATTTTGGCGATACGATCGATGTGTTGATTGCGGAACAGGCGGGACACGCGAATGAGTGGTTTTGACTTTGACAGCAAAGCCATTGTGGGATACTTGCGTGTGTGTCTGTATGAAATGACATTGCATCCTGGAAGCGATACCGTTGACACAGCGAGAGAAGCGCCAACTCGTTGCAGCTTGGCTACCCGTCCACCTGCACGCTTCTACTTCTTCTTCTGACTCGTCGTGTTCTTAGGCAACTCCCTAGTGTACGGCAGAAACTCCCTGCCACCCATGTACGGCACCAACGGAGGCGGGATCCTCAACCCATCCTCGGTCTGCCAGTTCTCCACCACACAGCACAACGCCCTCTCGGTCGCACAGAGCGTACCGTTCAACATGTGCACGAACGTCTGCTTGGTATCACCTGGCTTCTTGAAGCCGCACCTGACGTCCAACCTCCTGGACTGGTAGTCGGTGCAGTTGCTGCACGAGACCAGCTCCTTGTACTCTCCCTGGAAGGGGAACCACGCTTCGAGGTCGTACTTCATCGCGGCTGCGTTGTTGAGCGCACCGGAGACGATGGCCACGACGTGGTAGGGGAGCTGGAGCGACTGGTAGAACTCCTCCGAGTTGGCGAGCATCTGCTCGAGCATGTCCCACGAGGAGGCAGGGTCGGTGATGCAGAACTGCTCGATCTTTTCGAACTGGTGGACGCGGAAGATACCCCAGGTGTCCTTGCCGTGCGAACCGGCTTCTTTGCGGAAGCACGTCGAGTAGCCGGCGTAGCGGATGGGCAGCTGCTTGGCGGGTTCGGTGAAGACTTCGTCCGAGTGGAGCGCCGAAATGGGTTGCTCGGAGGTGGCGATGAGGTACTTGTCGTCTTCATCGCCGGTCACCTTGTAGAGCTCCTCGTCGAACTGGTCGAGCTGCGCCGTCTTGGCCATGACCTCCTTGCGCATCATGAAGGGGGTCATGATCTTCTTGTAGTTCTTCTTGCGCAAAAAGTCGAGGCCGTAGTTGATGAGCGCCTGGTTGAGATCGACACCGTCTCCGGTGAGGAAGAAACCGCGATGACCCGAGATCTTGGTTCCGCGCTCCGTGTCGAACAGCTCGAGACGGTACATGACCTCGTGGTGGCTGAGGATGCCCTGTTTCTTCTCGACCTGTGCGTTGGGACCGTCCGGGTGCCACTTGCGCAGCTCTGCGTTGTCGTCCTCGGTGTTGCTGATGGGGACCTTGTCGCCGACGATGTTGCCGATCTGCATGGCTTTGGTCTTCATCTCCTGCTCGGCGGCGACGACGGAAGGTTTGAGGTCGTTGACTTTGGCGTCGAGTTGCTTTTTGGTGGCCATCTGCTCGTCTGCATTCTCCTTGGCTTTGCGGAGCTTGGTGATCTCAGCTTGTACGGCATTGACATCGCGACGTGCGGTGTCGAGGTCCTTTTGGAGCGAAACCCAGTTCTTGTAGAGGGCGAGCACCTCGTCGACGAGCTCTTCGGATGCGTTGCGCTTCTTCTGGGAGTCTTTGACGAGCTGCGGGTTTCCGCCCTTGTCGGGCTGGAGGAGGAGGAGATCGATCATGGCGGGCTGAGCGGGTGTGTGTGAGGAGGACCGAGATAGATAGAGGAAAGGTGTGACAAGTGTCAAACGCAGTTCAGATGTTCAAAATCTGTCACACACACTTTCGACTCTTCTTGGTCGCACTGTCAAAGCGCTTTTCTTCCTGCGCAACCAAATAGAATGTGAGATCGTCAGAATTGAACTAGACTCAGTTTTTTTGGGCAGAAAAGTTGCGAATCCGAAAGTTTTGCTGAATGGCAGCGAGGCAGACGGCGAGTGTGCGTGCCACTTTGGAAGAAACGCTGAAACAGCGATTCAGTTCGTCTTTGCGTATCTTCTCCTCGCCATCATCATCCATCATCGATCCAAAATGTCCGTCTTCGTCGACCTCGATTACGAGCTTCCGGCGGCTCCTGCCAGCTTCAAGCCCGGACAGTCCTCCGCCTCCGCCCTCTCGGCCCCCACCACCCACGTCCTTCAACCCGTCGGACCCGCTTTCCTCGCCCACAAGCGTCGTCAGCTCAACAACCTCACCTTTGCCGAGGACGACAAGATCATCTCCGACTCTCTCGCTGCCGCTGCTGCCGCCGCTCAAGCAAACGGCGACGACGATGCAGGTGTCGGTGACGAGGATGAGTCCGAGGAGCTGCTTGCTCGCGATCCCAAGGAGTGGAAGACCCAGGACCACTACGCCGTCCTCGGTCTGTCCGCATTGCGATGGAAGGCCACTCAGGAGCAGATCAAGATCGCTCACCGCAAGAAGGTGCTCAAGCACCACCCGGACAAGAAGGCTGGCTCTTCCGGTCTCACTTCGGATGACTCGTTCTTCAAGTGCATCGCCAAGGCACACGAGATCCTGAGCAACCCCGAGAAGCGTCGTCAATTCGACTCTGTCGACGAGTCCATCGACGACGAGAACGTCCCCACCGGCAAGGAGCCCGCCGACAAGTTCTACTCGCTCTGGGCTCCCATCTTCGAGCGCGAAGGCCGCTTCTCCGAACCCAAGAACGGTCCCGTCCCCCACCTCGGCGACGCCAACTCCACCCGCGACCAGGTCAACGAGTTCTACGACTTCTTCTACAACTTTGACTCGTGGAGGTCGTTCGAGTACCTCGACAAGGAGATCAACGAGGGTTCCGACAACCGCGACGATAAGCGATACACCGAGAAGAAGAACCGCAACGAACGCGCGCGCAGAAAGAAGGAGGACAACGCACGCCTCCGCAACCTCGTCGACAAGGCTCTCTCTGTCGACCCGCGCATCAAGCAGTTCAAGGCCGACGACAAAGCCGCTCGTGAGGCCAAGAAGAACAAGGGTCGTCCTGGCGTCAACGGTGCCGCTGGCGCTGTCGATCCTCGCAAAGCCGCCGAGGACAAGAAGAAGGCCGAGGAAGCTGCCAAACTCAAAGCTGAGCAGGAAGCCGCCGCCGCCGAACAGGAGAAGGCTGCCAAAGCAGACGCCAAGAAGCTCAAGGAAGCAGCCAAGAAAGCCATCAAGAAGGAAAAGAAGGCGCTCAACAAACTCATCACCGACAACAACTACTTCTCCTCCTCGGCCCCCACCCCGCAGATCATCGAAGCTCAACTCAACGAACTCGACGCTCTGTGCGAAAAGCTCGAAGCCGCCAAGCTCGGAGAGTACAGGAAGAAGGCCGAAGCCGCAACCGGTGCCGATGCTGTTAAGAGCCAGTTCGTCAACGCTGCCAAGGAGGCTGGTATCGAAACTTCTGCTTTCGCTTAATCGCAATATCGATCTGTTGTTATAGATGGTTCGTCATGTAGAATTTCCATTTGCAAATCACTTCTTTCTTTCCACATTTCAACGTCTCCGCTTCTCCAGCATGTGATCCGTCTATCACCTCATTTCACACAACTTCACAGACAAGTATCGAGAGAGAATGCTTATGTTTTGCGTATGTGTGTGTAGAGATTGGCAAAGGGGACGGTCTGACAGACCGCTGATCCCGCACCTCGTTTTGATGGTGATGAAACGCCTGCAAGCCGCGAGCTTACCGACGCAGGGAAAGAAAAAGTACAACGTCGACGAGGACGATCGACATCTTTTCATGAAAGCGTCATCGTCTGATGAAGCGCTATCCAAGAACAATATAGACGGCAAAAAGGTTGGCAAGGTGAAAGTAGAGGATCACTTTGGACCAACGACGAGTGAAAGATGAAAGAGGACGGAGGCGAAAGGACGAGAAGCTTAGAAGACGAGCGCGGCGTTCTTCTGCTTCTTGTCACCACCAAGCTCGAAGTGCTTGCATCGCTTCAGGGCGACGTGCGATCGGTACTTGCACGCGGTGCACTCGAGACGCAGCACAACCTTCTTGGTCGTCTTGGCCTTCTTGTGGAAGACGGGCTTGGTCTGACCACCGTAACCCTTCTGCTTCCTGTCGTAACGACGCTTACCCTGAGCGTACAGCGAAGCCTTACCAGTCTTGTACTGGGTGATCTTGTGGGGGCTGTTGGAGGTTGAATTGGCAAGGCAAAATGTCAGCGACATTGTTCAAGGGGAGACGGCGGAAGGTGACGCAGCAGCAGTCTAATTGCAGGCTCCTTGTGCAATAGTCGTGTTTCCTCCTTGTCCACCAGTCCAAGCGGTTAGGTTGTTCAACGTGCTTGTCCGTCATTGCCCTGATGCCCTCCCTGTCGATCCAAGAAGGTCGGATTGTGCTTTGTGGTTGAGATCCACCATGCTGTGTGCAAAGAGGCGCCAATAACACCACTCGAGCTTTCCTGCCAGCCTTGTCCCTAGTCGGCAACCATGTTGGCGATGTCGAGGTGTTTCTGCTGATAGTGCAAAATGCTCCCCACGCCCAGTTGAATGCGATGCTTGCTTCCAAAGTGATGCTGGTCGTTCCTCCGGTGCGTTGCGCTACCGACGCCGAATGTTCCTGACAGTCCATCTAAGCTCTCTGACCTGCAGACCCTTCCAAGTATCCGACCTGATGATCTTTGTGTATCCTAGCTGAATTCGTTCGACATCATCTGACATGTCCATACTGCTGCTGCTATGGGATCCGGTGACTGCTGCTGTCGTCGCTCCATGGTCGAAATGAATACTCACGTGTGCTTCTTGCAGGGCTTGCCCTTGCAGTAAGTCCTGCGCGTCTTGGGAACGTTGACCATTTTTCTGTTGATTGAGATAAAGACGTCGATGGAATGGCGATGCGATGGTGGTAGAAGGGACAGACGATGGAGAGCGGAGAGATCAGAGCCTGATCGATGCTGTGTGGCTTTGGGTGCTGACGCTGTGTGCTGCTGGTCGACGCTGTTTTTACAATCTCAAAAACAGGTTCAAGACAAAAAGATGCCGAGTTTCCGACTTTGTCGTGGTTGCTGCTGACGGTGGTCGTTACGTTGTAGTCGGGTGGCATGCACAGCGTCGATGAAAAGGTGCTGTATACTTACGCTATTCAGTGATGACTTGAGGATTGGTGGAGAAAGGTCAACCGGTTGGTAGCGTCCGCACGTTTCGGATGATGGCGAGCACCGCCAGCTGCTCTGCTCAGCTCGATTGCCAGCCTTGGTCGGCTTGCTTGGCTGCCAATCTCGCACCCTGAGCTCCCTTAAGTTAAATCTCGGATTGACTGCTGGCCTGCCACCTTTCTAAACCGACAGATTCGCTCAGCCAATGCCCACTCTTCAACTTGGACTGCGCTCTGCTGTTGCTCGTTTCCTCGACTGCCGCTCGTAAGTTTAGGGTGCGCTGCCTCGAGCTTCAAATGTCAGATCAGCTGAAATTGTCCCGTCTCTCAGGCTCGTATTTCGGAATTAATCTCAACGAGTTTGTATTTAACCCAAGACAGGTCACGTGTATAAATGCGGCCGATGATTGAATGGCCTTGGGTGCCCCTCGCCCTTCCGCCTGTCCTTTTGCACCATCTCTCTCGATCAATTCCTTCTCGGACCGTATCATACTCATCTTCGTATGTATGAGCATCGTTTGATATGAGTTTTGAGAATCTTGGTCTTGAACACGATCGACGGACGAGACGTATAGAGTCTTGTGTGAGTGTATCGTGGGCAGAAGATGGTGCATCACGTGCAGCCTGGAGATCAAAATTGAATCTAAATTGAATTGAAATCTGAAAGGCATCATCTTAGAGCGTAGAGGCAGTAGAGTGGCTCCCCAAGAAACTGTGGCTGGCAATGCTGAGAAGCTTCAGGTTGAAGAGTCTGAGGCCCAAAATGACGAGGCTGCAGTCTCAGCTTGGATGCCACGGTGTGAGCGAAGAAGCTGGAACAAGTCGAGAATGTCAGCTGGAGAGAAGCTCAAGGCCTGAGCAGCAGCTGCGGTGCGGTACGAGAGTGTGTCTGCGAGCCCCGTTGGATTGTGGTTGTTGTCGTTGTCACTGGCCATTCGATCTCTACCACGCCCATCACCATCATCTCAAGAACGTAAGTACATGCCAACCTATTGGATACAGCAGCATCGTCAGCATTCGTCAATACCAGCATCCGTGCTCGCCAGCCCGTCACAGCAGCCATCAATGGAAGGCATCACCGTTCAGCAGTCTCAGTCTCAGCCTCTTGCCAACGATCCCAGCGAATACTCCGCATTGCATCAGGTCGGTGCTTCCACAGCATCTGTAAAGCCGCGTATCAACTACTTCCTACAGCATTTACCTCAGCAGACGACAATGTATTGTGGTGTCTCGTTCCGAACAGCGTACAGAGCTCAATCTGCAATTGGTATCGCATGGTGGACCGAGGACCATCCAGCACCTCAGGGGAGGATCCGCAGCTTGCGTCTATACGAGCGATTGCTGCCGTCTACAGTTCCGGTTGGGCTCCGTCGACGGCAACACGTGTTCACAGCGCCGAATAAACGATCCGCCCAAAGACTCGACAACAGCAATCACAGAAAAGATATTACCCATTACCTGACGAACGCAGTCATCCACCTCCTAGACCACACGGATTCGACCGACGCGACGATTGCTGCTGCCCTCATCTCTCATCGAAAGATCAGCATCTGACCTTATGTCCGACCTCGTCTTCTTGCACTATTCCCACACACCAGATCATACACAATGCCTGCTTCTTTCAAGCGTTACGTTCAGGTTGGCCGTGTCGTCCTCGTCGAGGAGGGCCCCTCCGCCGGCCAGCTCGCCGTCATCGTCGAGGTCATTGACCACAACAGGGTAAGTTGCCACCTCGCCAATCAATCACCACGACATCGAACACTTCAGAGCAGGAAAGCAGCAGATGCAGTCGGAGGATCGGACATGGCAGATACACAGCAGGATTAATCCGGGGATGAGGCAGGAAATGGGGGGTCGGATCGCTTCGTTGTCGCACAGTTGCATTGCTCAAAATGGAATCAACAGAGGGCATTGCGTATCCGAAACAGCAGGCTGCGGACCGGCACGAATTACGAACGCACCTATGGAGGCTCCGGTGGATGATACATCTTGGTGGGGAAGAGGACGCATCTCATATGGTTGGGTTGGCAGTGAAGATTCAGGACCGGCGACGGTCGTCACGTTGTGATGGTCGACGGAGGAAATGATATCGCTGGTTCTCAGCGGCTTTGGACACCGTTATGCCCTCTCCCGTTTTTGATGGGGACACCAACAAAATGTCTTGATTCGAGACGCTTTCGCTTTTCGTCATGAATTGTTCGATGTCGTGGTACAGAGAGGCTTTTATTCCAGAAACATCTCGCTGACATCACTTCGATTCGTCTCTCCTTTCAAACTCTCTCAGGCCATCATTGACTCGCCCAGCACCGGTGTCGCCCGTCAGGTGTTCGCCTTCAAGCACCTCACCCTCACCAAGCTTACTGTGCCCGGTCTTCCCCGTGCTGCCGGCTCGACCGCCGTCAAGAAGTTCTTCGACAAGGCCGGTGTCGCCGAGAAGTGGGCTCAGTCCAGCTGGGCTAAGAAGCGCGCTGCCGTCAAGACGCGCCGCTCGCTCTCGGACTTTGACCGATTCAACGTCATGCTCCTCAAGAAGCAGCGCCGCAACGTGCTTTCGCCCGCCACCAAGAAGGCCTCTGCTTAAACAATAGCAGCGACTCTCTTGTTCTCGGTCCGGTATCAACTCTCTTGCAGCATTCTTCTCCTACACCCTCATACATACACACAGGCAGACGCGATGCCTTCAATCGATGGACGGGCTTCATCCTGACACGCCTCTGCAATCTAAAGCTCGCCGGCTATAACAGGATCGACCGACCCGTGCCCTGCTTTGTTCTTTCCCCCTCGTTTCTGGGCAGTCTCGGGTTGATCTTTCTCTTCTCCCCGCAGGGTCGATCGTGCAAGGCTTGGCAGCACCTGATACCAAGGCAGAGGTGTTGATTCGAACCACGTTTCCATCGATCCGATCATCGTTGTCTGTCACCACTTTCTCACACCACACTCATCCTGTATTATGCATCTTTTTGCGCTCCTTCCCAGAACGAGGGGGAACCAAAAATCAACACATACATTCCCGTCCTTCCCTGATGTGTGTCTAGCCCTCATCGTGCTCCTGAAGAGATTGACAAGATTACAACGGGTGAGTATGACCGTGATGGCGTTTTGCAAATGTCGATGCCAGCTCAAAGTGGCACTCAGCAGTCCATTAAGTCGAGCTCGAACACGCTTGCCCCACGGAGACGGCCGTGCGGTGTCGTTGACGCAGTTTCCGCCCTGAAGGCTCCTTGAGAAGCTCAAGCTCGCGCCGAGACGAATGACGTGTCATACAGCGGAAAGAGTTGTGACGGTGAACAGCAAAGACAAGACCGCGGACCAGGGAAAATGAGGTCCGGCGCACGGGTCTCGTTGGGCGGATAATTACGGTATACAGTAAGAGCTATGAGGTGTCCAAGCGAGTTGAAGAGTCTCGTGCCACGTTTTGGCGTACAATACACACGAGGGGCACTTGAACGGCTTTCTGGCGCCGTTTTGTTTGGGTAAAGTGATATTTTAGAGTAATTAATCAGATGGCCGGGCGGGCCTGGCCACGAGTGACGAGGACCGAGCTTAGCCAGCCTCGTCTCCGACCTCAAACACAAGAAACTCTAAAAATCGGAATTCGTGGCCTCAACACCTGCTAACTTGAGTCAGTTTGACTTTTGACTGGTCTGCAGCCTGCTGTTACTCGGAGCTCAGTCGGCGCTGCCGTTCTCGATGGGCCCCCGCTTCGAGGTCAATCCCATCACTGCCAAAGACGATTCATTGTTTGCTATGCGCACAAGACAGTCGCAACGACGCCGCCTCCTTCTTTCGGACCCTCTTCATCTCCTCCACCTCTACCTTTCATTGGCGACCGACTAGCTTTCCATCCGTCGATTGGTTCAACCCCAGACGGCGTGTGAAGGCTTGTATTCCGAATCGCCCTCGACATCCTCATCCTTCTCTTCGGGCGTCGGGCTCTCTTGTTCGTTTCGGCCTGCCTCGTTTCTGATCTTGCCTGCTTATAGACTTTGCATCCTATCCTTCCTTCCGTGCCGCTCGCACTCGCCGTCTTGGGAAAACCTCCGTCATTTTTCGTACATTCTCCAATACCCTTCACAGGAACCTTCGGAGGAAACATTCAGGCAATCGACAGTCATAAGACTCACCGTTCTTCTTCCATTTGGCTCTCAATTGGCGTCTGCTGCTCGCACTCCATGCATCGCTGATCATCCGGAATCCACCAACAAGGCCCGCACCGGCTGTCGCTCGTCGCCGCTCCCCTCCAATCCCGATCGGACGGCTCCTTGATTCTTGCAACGAGCTGCTCTGTGGCGCCAGCATGGGCAATCCGCTTTACCCGGGCAGTGGCTCGCGCTTTGTCACCCCTGTCGCCTCTTCCGCGTCTCAGCAAGCGTCTTCCTCTTCGTCTTCCTCATCTTTCCCGGGTCTGCTCGGTGGCTCCTTCACCGCCTCGAGCTCCAAACACGTCAAACCCGCCAACGAGTACGACCCTTCCTTCCACCCTGGCATTCTCAACCTTGGAAACACTTGCTTCCTCAACTCGGTCCTTCAGTCCATCGCAAACACGCGCGACTTTCGCTTGCTCATTCAAGGTCCTCCTGTCTCGGCTGCATTCTCCGACGAGCCCTCACAGGTACCGACAGCGGCTGCTCTCGCTTCTTCCAGACACAACCAATGGCCGAACCGGTCTCAGAGCCCCGCCCTTCGCGTGTGCGATGGAGAGCACGGACGCCGCATCGACAATCCCCCCAACCCCAGCGGCAGCCTCGATTCTTCTCTGGCATCGCTCAACACACTTCCAGCGCATTACCCGATAGCAACCATCAAACCTGGCAAGTTGCCTTTGCCTGCTGCCTCGGCTACTCCCCCTGCACAAAAACATTCCACCTCGTGCTCTACCAGTCCCGCATACGAGCCAGACGTGCTTGATCTGCCGCTCAACACGGCTTTCCGACACGTACTCGAGAAGTTCTGGACAGACGGTCACAAGTCGCGTGCTTCGGTCAACGTCAACCCCAAGCGTCTCCTCAACCAGATCGGAAAGAAGTACGATCAGTACCTCGAGTACGGCCAGCAGGATGGTCACGAGCTCATGCGTCATCTTCTGGACGCTTGCCGAATGGAGGAGCTCGACCTCATCAAAAAGATGCGTCCGCCGCCGCCCAACAAGAAGGCCAAGATCAGCAGTTCGTCCGCGACGACACCGGCTGCGGCAACAGCGGCAGCAGAAGCGACGGCATCGCCAACCAGTCGACTCACTGCGACTGACGTCGAAAACGGTCAGATCGGGTCCCAGTCGCCAGAGTCTGCGCCTGCAGATGCGCTGGCCCCAACTACGCAAACGCCGACCGAGGAACAACTGCTTCCGTTCCTCGACCTTCTCTTTTGCGGCAAACTTGCCAGCATGGTCGTCTGCGAAGGATGCAAGAAGGTTTCGCACACCTATGAGGACTTCTACGACATCAGCCTCAGTCTGCGCGACGACGCCAACAACCCCAAGTCGCGCAAACGAGATCGTCTTCGCAGCATGGCTGACCGTTGGAGGCGTGCTACGCAGGGTCGGACCATCGTAGATCGCAAGTCGGCCGCCGCTGCCACCGCCGCCAGCGGCTCAAATGTGGTCACTCCGGTCGGCACCCCTCGGTACAGCGAGACCGAAGCCAGCGATGCTGATTCGAACGCAGTCAAATTCAAAAAGTCGAGCGGCTTGCTTTCGCCCGATGAAGGCGGTCGTGGACGCTTCCAGCTGCGTACACGCAGCCTACGCAAGAGCAGTGGTCGTCACGAGAAGCTAGGCGCCACCTCGGGCAGCGAGATGGAGCCCGACTTCCCCGACATGGCTTCGCTCTCCTTGGCGCCCACCTCTGCTCCCAGACCCTACGTTGACTCCGCACCTCCCTCGGCTGGCGAAGATACCGGTGACGCGCGAACGGGCACTAGGGTGGCCAGGATGCTTGGCAGCGCCGCTACGGGTGCTACAGCCACCGACGCCAGCAGTCGCGAGACGAGCCCGCATCCACCTGGTGGGGACCGCTCCGCCGCGCTCCCCTTTGCCGGCGGCATGCGCCCCTCACTTCGACCCACCAAATCGTCGTCTCATCAATCCGCCTACATCGCTCGCATCATGGCAGACGATCCAGCCAGCACTCACCCCAACGCAGCTGCCTCTCGCAAGCCAGGCGCGCCTTCGCCGCTCCTTGACACCGTCGTCACCGCTGCCGCAGCTCAAGGTAAGCCTCTGCACGGCTTCTTTCGCTCTGTCGGCACAGGAGCACGACATCGCGACCCCGCTGCCGAGTTCGAGCCCAACCCTAGATCGCAAGGTGCCAAGCGCCGCCTCAAGGTTCGAGAGGAGCAGTCCACGACAGGTTTGATTGCCTCCCTGCGCCAGTTCACGAGCGTAGAAGTCCTCGATGGTGACAATAGCTTTGCTTGCAAGAACTGCTGGCGATTGGCCAATCCTCCTGATGCGCACGAACGCGAGCAGATTCGTCGACGTCGCAGACGCAAAGGTGTCGCATCTGCCGAGGTCGACGACGAGGAGGGAAGCGAGCCCAGCAGTTCGGACGGCGAGTCGGATTTCGAGAGAAGCAAAGATACGCAGGACCAGAAGAAAGCGCCCTCTATAGTAGGAGATGAGACGCTGACGAGTCGATCCGTGGGCACCAGCATGGCAACCTCGGCGAGCCAGAGCACGCTTGCAAGCAGCAGCGTCGATTCCATCATGACCGGGTCCAGCGCTTCGCAACCCTCGCTGCAGCGATCGGATATTCCCACCATCTCGATGACCTCGGCCGATGCATCGATGGACAATTTTGAGCCCAAGGAGCAGAGATCCCGCAGCAGCAGCGGCATCGACGGCAGTGTGGTCGCGAGAGACTATGCAGGATCCGCTTCCACGTCACCAGCTTCGAACGGCACCAATGGACAGGTGACGCATCACAAGAGAGGATCCTTGTCGAGTTACAGCAGCGTAGAAGCAGCAGCTCGGAACCGGGATCGTCTTGCACCCAGCAACGGGTACGACACGGGTACAGAGACGGATGCGTCTGGCTTCTCGACTGGCATGGATGAGTCGAATGCCTCCACTGTGGAAGGCACAGACACCGAAGCCGAAGGCACCGAAAAGTCCGAGGCCGCGGAGCAAAGGTCGAAACGATCGGCTCAGAGCCTGCCTCGTCGTGCGCTCAAACGTTACCTGATTGCGTCAGCTCCACCGGTGCTCATCTTCCATCTCAAGCGATTCCAAGCTACAGGACGCGGCTTCGTCTCCGGACTGGCAGGGTTCAAAAAGATCGATGATCAGGTCACGTTCCCCGAGTATCTCGACATCACGCCGTGGCTGGCACCGCCAAGAGAGGAGTACGACCGGCGTGGGCGTCTGAAGGCTTCAAGTGATCCGCTCGCTATCCGCAAGCGCGCAGAAGAGGAGGCGACCCATGCCGGCGTCGACGCACGCCATGTCAAGGTCGAGGTGTCTAACAGGCACGGCAAACGCCACCAACGAGTGCATGAAGGAGGCAAGAAGGGCAAGAAGCACGGCATGTGGTCGTGGCATATCAGCGATCATCGTTCGCCTGCGCAAGGAGCGCGAGGCGGAGATTTGGACGAAGGTCCCAAGGTGCATTCTTCCAACGGCCACGAGATTGTGCCATCGGTGATTCGCAGGCCCAAGACCGAGTATAGGTTGTACGCGGTGATCGTACATCAGGGCTCGTTGTCTGCCGGTCACTATACCGCATATGTCTTGTCGGACCGCATCAAGCTCAAGGACAGGCCAAAAGAGATGGTGGCACGTTCCGCGCCAACCAGTCGATCGAACACGCCGGCTCCTCTGAGCGCCAATCCGACGACAGCGGCCAGTGGAGGAGGCTTTGGATTCTTCAAGCCTTCGCGATCCAACGCAGCCTCGCCTGCCCCACTGCCCGTACCCGTTCGACCCGCGTCGGCAGCGCCCGTCTCGTCGTCGGTCGCCATGAGCAGCGTTCCCTCGTCAAGCAGCGTCTCTGGCTCGTCGTCGCACGACATTGCGCCACAGACATCCATCTCGTCCCTCGAGACCGACGGCTATGGCAAGACGGCCAGCGAAAGCGAGTCTTCCGCTTCCCAGGGACCCAAACTCGTTCGACCTCGACCGCAACTCAGACCCATGGCTAGCTGGGACAGTCTCGACGAGCTCGAGCAGTCGCACGCAAACACGAATGAAAGCGTTCTTCCGTCGATTCAAGCTACTCCGGGAAGCGCAACACCCACAACGGGGACGATGACGCCGCTCGAACCAACTCCCGCTGTAGCCACGGTAGCTAGCGACAAGAGCAATGCCCACCGACATGTGGACGGGCGGGATGGCGAGGGAGATGACGATGATGACGATGTGGATCCGAGGAAGCGGGATGACGGTAGACGATGGGTTTACACTTCGGATACAGTGGTGAGGGCGGCGACGATTGAGGAGGTGTTGAAGGCGAAGGCGTACATGTTGTTCTACGAGCGCATTTGAATGGAATTGGAGCTGTTTGCAAGGGGATGCGTGTTGAAACTCTATCGTTTGATGACGTTTGGCATTTGGCATAATATACAGATGTGTGTGTGTGTGATTGAAACGTTATAGAAAGTTGTATGGCCGACCGTCTTTCTCCGTTTTCTCCTTTTCACTCCCGTGATGCGGTTGGACCTTTTCCTCATCCCCGCCGTGACAGTCGGAGGGTGTCGCACCGGTCAAAGCCGCATACTCTTCTCTCCACTTACTGCTGCCGAGGTAGAGACTTTTTTTGCTGGGACTGGCTTTCGCCTGGGCCTCGAGCATGGCTGCTTTGAGCGAGGCTAGCACGGAAGGTGAGCGTTCGCCGTCGATCAACCCCACCCGAGATCCGTTCGAGTCGTTGCTTTGGGAAAGGTTTAGAGGTGGTGGAGCGAGAAGGTGGTACTCGGTCGAAGTGGTGGATTTGGATGATGTGGAGGGTGGTGGTGCGAGGAGGTGGAAGTTGGATCCTTCGACGACGAGGGGTGAGGGAGGAAGGGTGGTTTCGACTCCAGCGCGGAGCGAGTCGACTGTGGTGGAGGGGTAGTGCGGGGTGGGGGAGGGTGTGAATCGGACGGTTTTGAGCGTTGTTCGAGGTGGTGGAGAAAGGGGCCATGTGCGGGAGAGGGGAGAGCTGAAGGTGGTGGTGAGCAGGGGTGGTGGATGTGTTGGTTGATCGCGATCAAATGTAGTTGTGGAAGAGGTGGTGTAGGAGGAGCTGCTGGATGATGTACGACGCGTAGTGGTCGAAAACGCATGACGAGAGGTTATCGTTGCGGAAGCTGTTGCAGGGTTGGCAGCTGCAGCTGGGGGCGGCGTGACTCTGGAGGCGACAACCGCAGACGGTAGGGTTGGAGTAAAGATCGACATCGCCGGAGCACCTGTCTTTTCGACATCCTCCTCCTGTCCTTTCTTCTCCCTGTTCCTTTTCTCTTGACTCTCTTCTATCTTCTCCATGACCTTCTTCCCAACTCCACCGATGACACTCTTCAACCCGTCTACATTCACTTTCCCTTTTCCCGTCCCTTTCCTACTGCTGATCGGAAGCGGTAGACCATCCACTACCCTCTCCGCGTCCCTCTTCGCATCCGCCAACTTCTCCAGCTTCTCCGCCACCTCGGCCTTCCATCCCATTGGACTCCTCACCACCTTGGCCTTTGCCCTCCACGCCACGCCCACCGCGACATTCGCCACTCCCAAACTCGCCACCACCCAAGCGCTGATCTCTGCGAACCTGCCTCCGACATCGCCCCTACTCAAACTGTCCCCTGCAACCAAGATCAGCAGGACCCCCAGGAAATCTGTTCCCCAGTTTGGACCTAAAAAGGGAAGCGTGTTCTTGAACAAGCGGTTGAGCAGAGGGATTGGGAGCGAAAGTTCGGACAGGATGACGGTGAGCAGGACGAGCAGGATGGAAGAATGATGGAGTGTCGACCAGAACACACCGAGGAAGGTGGTGGGGATGTCGGTGGAAGGGTAGTAGGAGGAAGAGGAGGTGGAGAAGGAGAGGGGTGGCGGATAGTGGTTGAAGTTGATGACGAGGGTTCGGATGATGGAGGAGATGAAGAGGATGCACGAGACGATGGTGAGGACTCGGATCAGGTTGAGCAGCGCCCATCGCTGGAGGTATGGTGGAATGAACATGGTGCGCTGAGGGAAGAGTAAAGAGAGAAAGAAAGAGAGAGAGACGGTCCAGCCGTCTATGATGTCTAGAGAACGTGAGTTGATCTCTGTCAAAGAGAAGTGATGGTCCGCGATTGAAGACTGAAAACTATCGAGATGGTGGAAGGTACAAGATCAAAGATGATGAGGAGGAGGAAGGCGTTGCCCGTAGGCGGACAGTGGGCCAGATTCTGGCCTCGATGAGCTTCTTGCACACAAAAGTATTGAAACGTATGCAGACTCACCCGCCGGTGTATGACCATTGTCTCTCGGCATCGACCAGAGTCGCGGACATCTTCAGCAGCCCTTCTCAACCGTGCTTGCAAGCTAAGCATCAATGCTTTAGCAAGCAGAGCCTACAAAGGGTAGCGTATGACAGACAAAGGGCATGGCATGCTTCATTACGCCCACAGGTGCATGTCATGAGTGGGACGGCGCTGTCAGACAGGTCGACAAAGGGAAATGAGAAGAACGCTTTCAGTTGGCGACAAAGGCCCGTTTTTTTTGTGGTCAAGAATGAAGATCGGTGGTCTAACAATTTCTTATCAACAAGAATCGGTACAAGCACGGAAGTCGGATCTGCTCGCTTTGGGCAGATTGTACCTCTCTTCCTCCTTACCATTATCATCGTTGCGGTATCCTTTCCCAATCTCTCACACACACTTGCGGGAGGTTGCGGAGACTAAGCACAGCCTCTCACACATCGTTCACAGAAGCAATCATGGCCTCCTCATCACGCACGGCGCTCCAGCCGCTCACTAGCGAACAACAAGAAAGCATCATCAAGCAACGCATGCAGGTCGACGAGCGATCCCTTCGCCGTCTAGTCAAGAAGCTCACCCTCTTGCTCGCCAGCAAAGATGTCGAATCCGTCTCATCCTCGCGACTCTCCTTCAAAGCCGATCTCGAAGCCTTCCGTCTTCAGCTGCAACGCCTCTCCTCTATCGCCCACGGAACGTGTCAGGTCGAGATCCAATCCTACACCTCCGAGCTAACCGAGATCGAGCTCGAGCAGCAAGCTACACAGCAGCGAATCCACGCGCTCAAGCAGAAGCTGCAAGATGTACGACGCGAGCGGAAGAACAAGCTGGAATACGACGTGGTGGCAGGAGAGATTGTGAAGCTGCCGACGAGGAAGGAACTGGAGGAATCGCTGACGAGGTTGAGCGAGCAGCTGGAAGGGGTGAGGGCGGAGAGGGAAAAGTACGCGGTGATGTCGGAGAAGGCTGCGGAGAGGACGGGCGAGGCGATTGGCGTATTGGATACGCTGAGGGTTGATGTTGGAAATGAGGTGGGCGAGAGGGAGAGGAGGGAGGTCGAGAGGGCGGATGGTGATGCCGATGGCGAGACGGCGGAGGGCGCTGCGGCTACGGGGACGAATGGCGCAGGAGACGATGTCTCGGAAAGTGGAGGCAGAAGCAAAACTCGTCAGGAAGAAACGGAAGATGGACCAGAAGAAGGCGAAGAGGAGGAAGCCGTACAGGGTCTTTCCGCGAGTAGAAGCGGGAGCTCTACGCCTCGTAGACCACTCGCTGCAGATGACGTTCCAGCACCACCGACCCTCAACCCATCGGCACCCACCTTCCGTCCGTCCTCGACGGCTGTGACGAGCAGCACATCTTCGACGCGGCGAAAGCGCGATTCGACCGCCATGACAGCCTCAGACGAGGAAGGTGAAGTTGCAGACGGATCTTCCGTCGCGACCGCCGCTGCATCGAACAGCAACACGCCAAGGAAGAGGCAGAGGACAGAGGAAGGAGAAGTGGCAACAGGCGAGAGCGAGGAGGAAGAAGGTAGCATCCAACCGGCTGCAGGCAGGACGGCGGGGGCAAGCGCCAGTGCGAGAGTTCGTGCCGGTACGAAGCGGCAACGATGATCACTGGGAGATTGAATTGCCAATCATTCCAAACCCAGGCTTGAACTCCGTGTGACAGCGGTCTAGCTTCTTCGCAAGATCGAGTACGCTTCTATAGAGCAGGCTGCATCTTGATTTCGGCGAGAAATTGTGTCCTTGAGGTGCATATTGGTAAAAAGTGCTCATCAAACTGAGGCAGAGAAATAGCCGGCGGTTATGCAAAATGTTAAGTCTTCTTTGGACTCGAAAGATTTGAAAATTTAGGGCGCGTTTTTGAGCAGCACACGTGGCTCAGGCATCTCCGTCCGCTTCAAATTGCAATCCTCGCTTTCTCGAGCCGCACTTTCTGACATCGCTGTTCAATGTTTGCGGAACGGGAAGGTAAATGATCGTGATGTCATGGATGCGATGGAGAAGCCCATGGCCGAGTGGAAGGGAGAGAATCGCGGACAGAGGGAGCGGATGGCTGGCCAACTTTTTGCCCAGCGAGAGGTGGTGGGTGCATGCAGCTCGGGGTTGATGTCTGCAAAGTGGAAACCGCCAGCCGATTGCGTCGTTGCTTGGTGCTTTGACAGGCCCGCCGGTCAAGCTGTTCGCCACGCGATTGTAGGCCAAGACAAAAAGTGGTGCAGCTCGAAGATCATTCGGTCCTCGCACGCCCAAGCGAGATGGGCTGTCTCGAGATGCAAACCGCAGACCCGACCGCTTCGGAGGGTGATTCGCACCAACGTCTGCGTGAGCAGTTCCCGACTGTACCGCGTCCGAGGCCGGTAGCAACGCGTCGATTCCTCACTCGACGCTGGCAAAAAGCTGCACGAATCCTGCAGAATTTGACACTCCGACTCCGCGAACATTTGACGCGCCTAAGTGCGTTCCGCCACAGTCTGCACCAAGCCAGTCAGCAAACACACACCGCGGCTCGCCATCCCGAGCGTTGAATACATTCCTCTCTAACACTTTATCGCAGATTGCCCTTTTGCCGCTCGGTGCTACTCTCCAGCTCGTCTTGATGAGGACAGGAAAGAGATTCCGAGCCAAGGTGCATGTCTCTCGGTATGCGAGGTTTCAAACCCTAATTGAAGTTTGGCAGATCAATTTCTGCAGTGTCTCTCCTTGCGCTAAATGGCTAGCCTCAATGCCACCGAGATGGTCGATCCGTCCCGAAGCATGTCAGCTGCTTTTGAGTCTGGGCTTGAGCACTTGTCTAGTGCAAGCCTCGAATGGCAAGCCCGGTTCGAAGATCGTGCCGCACGTCGGATGCAATGCGTTCCACCCGGAGATGCGAGTTGACCGCCGCTCCTCGAATGCTTGCCCTTGTCTACCTGTGCCGCAGAACTCACTGTCCGTGAAGCTCTTGCACTCGACGCCAATGACCTGCGAGAAAACTTTAGTACAGCCCCTAAAGCAGCCTCGCGTGATCTGCGGTTGAATGGCTTGTGCAAGCCCTCCCTGCACCGCGAGACTGACACATGGCATCCGTTGCACGGAAGATTGGCATCGCAAACGCCGAGCCCGCTTTTGACATCGAGTCGTTGATGCTTGGCTGCATTTGCGATTGCTCTAGACTATATCATCCCCACGCCACCTTTTCGAGCTCGACCGAGCCTTCCCCTCTCTGGGTCCTTCCAATCCGCGCGCCTGGCAACCGCTTCCCAGCAACACTGCATCTCTTTTGCTTCGCTACGGGAGAGCCATGTCACAGACACCTCAGCCAGAGCGGCACTCGTCCGATCAGCCAGCAGCCGCAAGACGAACTTCGGACGCCAGCTCGTTCGAACTGCCCGTATCGCTCTCCTTCACCTCCCACGTATCCTCAACCGAAATCCTCGACTCGTATCAACCAAGTAATAGGGGATCGGGTCTGCCGTATCTCGACTCGCTACCATCTCCCGCCCCGCTGCGAAACAGCCAGACAGACGCTAGGCAGTCCAACATCTTTCCGTCCGCAGCTTCGCCTCGACTGACCCCAGGTCCTTTCGATTCACCATCGCTTGCGCATCTCGCTGGCTCAAGGTCTTCGTTCGACGCATCGGCCGCAACGTCGTCATCGAAAGACACTAGTCACGATTCGCCGACCATAGATAGAGGTGCGATTCGTTCAGCTTCACCGTACAACAGCCCAGACATCTCCATCACTGTTCCCGGTAGTACAGCATTCAAGCAGGCGCAAGAACAGCAGAACCTCGTCGCCGAAGACTCGCCATCCGCATCCACAAAGCGATACTCAAAGGTCTTGCACGGTCTCGGCCTCTTTGGATCCACTTCGAAGCGCAAATCGCATCTTGGGATGAGGGACACTTCGAACAAGCTCGGTCTTCGGATAGAGACCGCGATCGCCATCGATGAGCCTGCTCACGAACAAGGTGCTTCAGGAGCAGGCTCGAGCGGTAGTGGGAGCGGTCTTCGGCCATCGACCCAGCCACGTTCTGCGGGGGCGAGCCCGCTTTCCTCTCCTGGAGGCACATACAAGCCACCCTCGGCGCATCATCTCCTCGGCGGACTCGGTGTGAGTCACGCACAAGGTCTTTCATGGTCATCGAGCTTCGTATTACACGAGGACAAGTATCCAGCCACAAGAGCCGACGCGTTCTCCGCCGGCCTCGTCCCCGTCCTCAACATCGACGATTCGTCCAGCTCCATCTACTCTGCCAGCAGCCCCCGTCGACCCTACACCCCGGGCAGCTTCACCAATGGCCCACGAACACCGCTCTCTGCAACCGCTTCACCCAGTGCATCCTACTTCGACGAGAAGAAGCTCAGTGGCGCATCTGCTTCGAGTCTCGACCTGCCAAAGTCGCTTTCACCCTCTATGACAGGACACGATTTCAAGATGTGGGGCGATTACGACGCGGAATCCGAACCGGACGATTATCTCCACGAACCAGACTCGGAGAAAGATCGCAAGGCTTCCAATGCCAAGCAGATGTTTTCGCCGAGAGGTTTGCTCAACATCGGGACGTTGGCGATCATCGGGTTGGGGCTGATGGTGTTGTTCGGTGGGTACCCGGTCATCTCTTGGTTGACCAGATCAAAGACCTCTAACAAAGGCGGATTCAACTTGGGAGGTATCAATGCGACCGGTCAAGTGGCCCAATTGAATATTGGCAGAGACCTCATCGATCCTGATACACCCGAGAACGTCAGAACGCGAACCACACTCAACGGATCCGGCAAAAAGATGAACCTAGTTTTCAGTGACGAGTTCAACCGCGACGGCCGGAGCTTCTACCCGGGAGACGATCCCTTCTGGACCGCGGTGGATCTACACTACTGGGGTACGGAGAACTATGAGTGGTACGATCCGAGTGCTGTCACCACCGCCAACGGATCGCTCGTGATCACGTTGGATCAGGTTCCGACGCACAATCTCAACTTCCGCGGTGGAATGTTGCAGTCTTGGAACCAGTTCTGCTTTACTGGTGGGTACATCGAAGTGTCGATGGTGCTGCCTGGTGCGCCGGACATTGCAGGATTGTGGCCGGCAGCTTGGACGATGGGGAATCTAGGAAGAGCTGGGTACGGTGCTACGACGGATGGAATGTGGCCCTACACGTACGATTCGTGCGATGTGGGCACGCTGCCCAACCAGACGTATGCGAATGGTACGGGACCGATTGCTGCGCAGACCACAGGTGTGTACGTCGAAAAGTACGGTCCGTACCTCTCCTACCTTCCCGGCCAACGATTGAGCCGATGCACGTGTCACGACTCACTCGACCATCCAGGGCCGCGACACGCCGACGGTACATGGGTCGGCCGTTCCGCACCCGAGATCGACATTATCGAAGCAGCCGCATCCCACACCCGTGGCAGCCGCGGTTTCGCCTCCATGTCTGCCCAGATCGCACCCTTCAACACCGGATACAACCTCACCGACGGTCCCGGCACCACCGAGTTCTTCTCCCAGGATGCAGCTCTCAACACCTACACCGGTTCCCCTCTCCAACAAGCTGCTTCCGCTCTCGTCTACACCAAGCGCGGAGCATATCAAGACACCCTGCAGCAATTCTCCTCGTATGGATACGAGTACAATCCGGGCTCCGACCCGGACTCGTACATTCTCTGGACAGTGGACGGCCAACCGATGTGGCAGTTGAACTCGAAAGCGCTGGGACCGGATGCCGGTACGCAGATCGGTCAACGACCGATCCCGTACGAGCCCATGTACATCCTGCTGAACTTGGGCATCTCCTCCAGCTTTACCACGGTGGACTGGAAACACTTGAACTGGCCGGCACAGATGTTGGTGGATTACGTGAGGGTCTGGCAGGTCGAGGGAGAGGAGAACGTCGGATGCGATCCGGAGAGCGCCCCTACAGCGGCGTATATCGAGGCTCATAAGGAGGCTTACTTCAATGCGAACAAAACTCTTTGGAGTGGTGACACAGATAAAGGTGGATACGGTGCATTGGTCCCAGGCAACTCGATGCTCGGTCAGTGTTAATTGAAGCTAAAATCGAAGACGGGACTTTTGAAATTTATCGCTGCTCATAAGGTATCACAGTGAATCTAAACTAATCGTACAACTCGGGAAAGATCTGCTTGTGGAGTGCACAGCGCCAGGCATAAGCTTCCTCGGCCGTGTCAAAGGTCCTAGTAGTCAGTTTGTGAGGCCAGACTTTTGTGTTTTGAACATAGCCTACAAACCTCCCAGTGCCACTTGGTCTGACACCAGCGTAACCAGACTTTGACTCCCGCGTGATGTTCATTGCATTGATCTTGATAGGGACGATGCGTAGATTTGCCCTCCGATTGTCCAGCTTGTTTCCGTTCCGATGGTCCATGTGATGCGTCCAAGTGTTGTACGGGTCCACAAGAACAGACCGATGGACAAACCTGTTCAGATACCGTGGGTACCCGTCCTTTGCAACAGAGATCTTGTTGCGGTACATCTTGATGTAGATGTCGTCATCGACCAAGACCTCCTCTCCGTTTAGAGCCGTTAGGTAGGCAAAATTTCCCTCCTTGGTCCTTGGAATGACGACCGTTGCATCCTCTTCCTCCCTTTTCCTCTCGTACTCTTCCTTCGCTGCATCCACGTGAGCCTGCCCTTCCTCCTTCGTCTTGAAGTATCCGAGATGTTTCGACCGAAAAGTGGCATGCCAAAGTCCACTGACATGAAGATTCAGACCCCCCGTCCCAACAACACGGCGTTTCCTCTTCGGTTTCTCAATACCCCGAATAGCCGCCTCCATCTCTTTCACCGTCGGCGTGAAAACCAACTCCCTGTCCTCCCACTCCTTTCCCTTCTCTCGAGCAACAAGAATGCGAGCCGTCTTTGCAATTCGAGCCGTGTCGAATGTACCCAGCTGCTTCTTCCCCCAGGTCGCATTGAACTTGCCGTTCTTGGACCTCCTGACACCGACAAAGTATTTGCTTTGTTTCTTGCGGGTGCAGTTGATCGTATTGAACGACTGAGTGACCACACAAAGGTTTGTGCGGACGTTGTTGAGCGGACGTTGGTCGGCATGGTCGAGTACCATGTCTGTGAAGAAGAAAAAAACGTAAGGTGTCAGTTCAATGGGCTTACGAGAAGGGCCACCGAGAAGGAAGAGCAACTTACTGGAAGGAATCTCGACAGGAAAGACAAAACGGGGAAGCTCGCGTCTCTTCTTGAAGAAGTCACCGGAAGCAAGCTTACCATTGATGAAGCAACGACCTTTACTAATCGTCAGGCCGTACTTTTCCTTGTAGAAAACGTGGGCATCGACAGCCAAAACAGTCACCTCGTAATCGACACCTTTGGTAGTGACAATCTGAGAGACCGAGTCAACTTCGACGATCTGGGCGGGGGCGCAAAGCATGGTCGGAAAGAGGGCCTGTTGGGGGCAAAGTGGGCAAGGCGATGGGGCCGGGCTGGTAGAGGTGGGAGGGGGGAGAGGCGATTGAGATTTGTATGCTTAGAAGGATGAAAGTCGGTCACGACGGGCGAGGTTTATATCCTTTCAGACCACCTGCGACGGACTCGTATGAGAATCAAACGTTTCTATAGCAGACGACAAGCATTTGCACAGCCAAAGTGAGCAAAGCTATAGCGAAATTTCACGATACAAGTGTATTGAGAGTATCTTTTGAAGCGACGAACAGACCATCAGAGGCATATCAGCAGTCATCGCTGTTGAGAATTGCCGTCAATACCCTCCTTTTTCCTGTCACGGTAGCATTCACAACCCTCATTCTTGGTATATCGGCTTCTCACCTCGCACGTATCATAGCAACCGAAAGCCTCATTCAGCCCAAGGAGGTCTTTTGATGCACAGAAACGACGAGGACATGACATGCTCGAGACTGTGCTGTGCAATACATGCTGGTACCGGGAGGCTGAGCGACAAAATACCAGTCATGGCATCCTCAAAGTTGTGCAACGATGGCGTTTTTTGCAAGGAACAATCACTCGAAAAGGACCGCCGTCTGTACGCCGACAGCAAAGCCCAGCAATGGCGTTTGCATTGCGTCGTTGCCATGGCGTACGCCGGAAGCGATCACCATCGATACGCCGACATCAAAGCCCAGCGGCGGCGTCTGCGTTGCGTCGTTGCTATCGAGTACGCTTGGCGATACACACTATGAAGCCTCGTTTTCGCAATCCAAAACGGCTCGAAGCCAACTGTTTGCTCGCTTACTGTCATTCAGATGGGAATCAAAGCGGTCTCTCAAAAATTCACTGTCTCAAGGCTGCAAAAGAATGTGCGCTTCACGGCAAACACGAATTCTGACCTCACAATCAACGAAACGCCGTGTTGCACGAAAGACTTACTGCACGGCTTTCACGCATCGAAATGGCGTTCTCCGCTACCTTGAACACTGCTT